TAACGTTTTGATATTCAATAAAAAGATATATAGATACCTACTGGTTTGACTTGACATTCATCTACCCCATTTTTTAAATACTATCTACTATTTAAAATACAATACTAACGTTCGAGATTCAAATTTCGTATACATCACATCACACATCAACAGCTTTTAATAGTCTGCTGCTGGATATAGGCCTCATAGCCTTTTGTATAAATATGTATATTAAAAATATAAAATGAGCAGAGTCGAGAATTGTGAAGATTACTGACAAAGCTGAAGACATAATAGCAAGTTAAAATGGTAGAGGGAAGGTCATATGTCACGCAGAACAGGTAGGGCCAAAAGATTCTGGAGCGGAGACCGTGGACTGGAAAACTCAATGTAGGGCTTTCAACATAAAAATGAATGGACGAAATTCTAAAGAACGCTGATCGATGGTGGATGTAGACCCTTTCCAGTCCGTCTCCTTGATAGTCACTGGAGATGACTAATGTCGGAGTCTAAGAAGATGATGGTGATGACTATGTAATAAAATGGCATTCGGAATTTGAATGTTAATCATCAATCACGATGACTTTTTAATAATTATTGTCCAGTCTTTGGTAATAAAGGAAAGTGCAGATAAAGTGTGTTAAGACATGATATGACGTGGTAATTTTTACATTTCAATAGAGTAGACAAAAGTGACAAGGCCGTCCGTAGTTGCCTCCTTTTTGCTTGCGTTTTTTTTTTAAATTAATGTACTTTTCATATTCGGGTCAAGGCGGTATTCATAAAAAAACTACTTAAAATGTAATGAAGGATTACTTTTAGATTCAGGACCTACATAATTTAAAATTTTCACGCAATTCATGGCCGACTGAGACATGTTATTCGATTTTGAGACAAGGTCATCTACCTATGAATAAAATGTGAAGAAACAGTTAACATTTTTATCAAACTCCATTACGGAATACATTTATGTATTAACTACACATAACTGTACCGTGACTCAATAGTGAAGATCTTTTATGTTCTTAGGTACTAACTTTAATGGACGATTAGGTTAGTTACACAGATTCACAAACTGTAAACGAATTATAGGTATACCACTAACCAATCAACATAAAATGTGGGTTGGTATTTACAATTGTCTGAAACTTCGGATTCCGGATCAAACTGGTCGAATTAAATGGAAATATTTAACTTATAGGATCAAAAGGGAAAAGGAATACCTAACTTTTCGGATCAAAGGAGAGGGAGCTGTGAAATTTTAGCTGAATCGTGACAGATGCTTACAAGACTCTCTACTTGTATGCCTACAACTATGTAATTTCTGGAATCGTCGCACCTTAGTCGTGTGGTACCGCGGAAATAAATAGTATGGAAATCTCTAGGAGATCTGCCTGCCTAAATGTTACTCATATTAAATGAAACACTTCGAATTGCTGCACAGTAAAAGTGAGGCATGTACAAAGACTTCACTCGACAAAAATGTAAATGTTACGATTGTCGGAACATGTACGAAAGACCGCAGAGGACATGAAATTTTCAAGGGATGAAATGAAAGATGCCTGAGAGGGTTGGGGTGTGAAAATTCATGTCCTTAAAAGCCTTAGCTTAGCCTTTCGGGGTACCAAAACAGTCAAGGACATTTTTCTTCTGCCTGATGGACTTGTATGAATAAAACTTTAAATAAAATATAATTTCCGAAGAACCGAACCACTACTAAGAGAGAAGAGGTAAGGAGAGGTCTATGACCAGCAGTGGACTATTATAAGCTGTTGATGTGATGATCTGAACAACTACTAATAAGAGAAGAAGGTTACAATATCCTCAAAAAACCTATCTATTCTGTTTATATCATGCTCAGTGGCTTACAATACCGTGTGTTTAGCAAAGATAGTTTTGAGTGCACCAAACTGCATACACCAATGTAGTGAGCGTGATGCGTTGTATGCAAAACAAGGTTAGCGTGAAATGAAATGCAGCTTTTTAGTATTTTATGGTAATTAAATTGAATGCATGCCGCGTCACACCGTTCCCTCTAATAGTTTATGCCGCTGTTTCTATTATTTTATATACAATAATGACCGTATGATGCAGGCAAGACATACATTGAGTAAGTTATGACCCGGTAAATTATCTACTTTAAACCTGTCAGATTCCCAACACAAGAGTTATACGCACTTGCTAAGGTATTAACTGTGAGACAGCTTTATCTGCTCCGCACAATTCTTCGTTTGCACTCTCAGATACCTCAGCCAAACTCTTTCAAAAGAAGAACTTTGAGTGAATAAATGTATAAACTTTATTATTATTTAGTACTTTTATAAGGAGTTTGGTACATTTTTAAAAGGACATTTCACAAGTACAAAAGTTTGTTTTTGACCTCGCCCAGTGCAATCCCTAATACCTATTGTCACGTTAAATCATGTATTCAAAAAGATATAACAAATTTAATTATTCCTTAACTAAGTACCTATCTCACAGTTGCAATGTAAAATGCAATGACTGCACGGATGGCGTAGTGGTTTAAGCGGTCGCCACGCCGCTTACTACTACTAGTACTTTGTGTGATCCACAAATTGTTGTTCTGAGTCTGGGTGTTCTTTGTGTCCGTTTCATGTATGTTTGTACAGTCCACCGCGACACAGGATATATTCCTAATGCGGGAGTTGTCTTTTTAAAAGAGAAAGAGAAAAAAAATGCTGGGACTGCAATGTTTTGGAATGAATTTGAATTTTCTGAATGATCACAAGGCTCGTTGGAGCGCCGTCGTCAGTTACGGACATCACTACTCATTATTGTTAGAGTAATTTCTTCTTCTTTTATTTACAAACATTAATAATAAGTCTACACATATATTCTTTTTAGTTCTACTTAAAAGAAATTTCTTCAAAGTAAATGTTAAATATTAGGGAAAAAATCTATATAAAGCTCGCTCTTACCATTCATTACAATGTTAATTTATCCGTTTTTTGTATTTCGATGGTTTAACACCATTTTAAATTATCACTAAAGATTACAACCTATTCATAAAATTATACAATACCTACTTTTATTTATCACAGAAGATGACCTCTTAAAAGGAGGCAGACGAATAATCCCACTCATTATTTCAGCGCAGTACAATTGTTTACAATAATAACTAATATTTCTGAGGATACCAAAGCAATGGTTCCTTAACCACAAACCGGTCTCAACTGAGAGCCGTACTATAAGAAATATCTTTCCAATTCTTACCTTTCAGGCTGCAAAGAATGTTTGCTAAAATCAGGTCAACAAGGCATTAGACCTTTTGAATGTATCAAACATTACAAATTTTAACTAATGACCTACTGAAAGTTATAATCGATACCATTAGTTAAACAAATACATATATCGGACTAATAGAAAGTATTTCGTAATTACATGTTGTGGTTTGCCGACATGTTTATACGAATTTAAAAAATTGGAACATTATTGCTACAATCAAATATAGAGGTTTTAATTGACCTTAGTCATTTGACTTACCCTCCTTAAATGAAAAAGTCCCTTCTTTTCAAATGATATGTTATTTAAAAAGGAAAAGTAAAATGAATGTTAAAGAATATGTGTTTTGTTTCAAGAAAACGAAACAAGAAATGGATAGCCCTCGACATTGTTTTGGTGAAAAGTTCTTCTAAGACCATAAACCATTCAATAACTTTTCAGAATCTAGGAGCACTATTTGACATATGGTTACAGAGACATAGGCGTTTGTCTTTCAAACAGAAAAACAGGAATCTGGATGTTGATGTTGGGAAGTTGAAGGTGTATATACTAATCAACGCAAGAGTGTTCAATGTGAGATGCAGAATTAGTGGTTACTAATTAGTTCAGTGTGTCTTCTTTAGGTGGAATTGAAGTAGATATGTTTTTTGTTTTTTTTTTTCAAAGTAAGACTTACGTCAACCACTATTTAATCTGAAACTGTTCTAGATTTCCTTATATCCAAACCTTTACATATTAAATATGGTATGGTTTTTAAATAACTTAGCATACCTAACTTATTGTCTTTTTTACAATGTTATTGCACTTATTGCATTCTTTGTATCTGCAAGGTTTTTTTTAGATTTAGAGGCGTTAATCTCAAAAATTGTTATTCTTATTTAATTTAGGCACTATTATTGTACTATATAATATATAATCTTGCGCTTGACTCCACACTCGAAAACATAATTATATTGAATCGATTTGTTTCCATATATTTACAATAAGGTTGTCAATAGATATAATTTCAAACAGGATTCAATACGGGACGCTGAACTCAAAATCAGTAATATCATCTTAACCATAAAGAAACAAAAATGTTTTAACTTAAGAATGAAAACTGACAGACAGACGAATACACATACTCAGTACACACAACACACACACAGACTCACAAACTCGCACACACACATGAATAGCTCCAATCTTAACTTAGTCAATTAAATAATCATAGATTTTAGTAAACTGCGATCTCTTTCTATTGTTTCATATGAAATTTATAAAAGATTCAAATATAATCGCTGCTGTCCAAATGTATAATCGTTTTTGTATTGATAGCCTCGACACAGGCTAAGCCTAGTGTAGCTATCTTTGTTAAACAAATTATCTAAATCTGGACTTCAAGTTTATTATTATTATAAGTTAAATGATTGCAAACAATGACATTTGTTAAATGGAGCGAACAAATATTGCTGTCTCTTTTTAATACACATCAGATTAATTTATTAAAATCAAACAATAAATTATTTTACAACTAAACTCATTATTATCACTATGCTTGAATTTTTAAATGCTATTCATAAGCACAGATTAAGTATTAAAACTCTAAATTTCAATATACCATAAACTTTCAAGTACACCTAGAACAACATAACTCTAGTTATCTACTAAATCAAAAAACACCTCGCATATTTTCCAACCACTAAAAAGATCCTGGCCAGTAACAATTCACAAAGACCGTATCTGTCAAAGTCACAAAAGGAATAAATAATTGACAATTTGAATAAAGAACACTTCACCTGGTATGTCGTCTGTCATTGCGGCTAACGTAAGTCCATTGTACACAGTGTGGTAAGGCGGCCGCGGGGCGAATACTGACCGCTGGTCGCACGTGCCACCCCTAAACCACCACTGAAGAACATAGACCTATGTTTAAACTGGATGTTTAATTTATATTTAATAAAGTAAATTATGATTTTATTTTGCACCTATTTTAAATTGTCATTTGCCGTCAAGCAGAACAGAGTGATCATTTATATAAAAGCAAAGTGCTGCAAAAGTAGTTAAATTGGATTAAAATTAGTTGCACCTAACAATAAAGGGGTGTAGAAAAATACCATGTAGGTTTTTATAGGAGACACAATAAAAACTAGAATCACCGACCGATCGCAGAAAGTCGTCGGTCCAAGTTGTCATAAAAAGGTTTGACAGTTAGCGGTTTAAATGAGACCACCAAGTATATTGAAGAATATTATAGTACAGAAGATTTAAAGCTGAATGTTTACACGCCGGTAGAACGGTGAATCTGATGTAGAAGGGCGTTATACTGCAAGTATTTAGGTCAACAGAGAAGAGGTGTGAGCTAAATGGAAGGTATTTAGGTAAATTGTCATAACATATGTAATTAAGAACTAATAAGTTTTATCAATGCAAAAGTTTTTAGAAATTATGCGAATATGCCATTAATATTATACAGCAACTACCTCCGCTTGCTGAATATATAGTAGACCAACAAGATATACATTTTAAGGTTGACAATTCCTCTACGATCTAAATATAGAGGAATTACGTTAGTGGGTCCTAATAGTGCTCTCAGTTTTTGTCTCTCAATTGTTCCTGCTGGATTACTGCATGTAAATCATCTTCATCATCCAGAATTGTCCCACTTTAGGTCCATATAGGAAAACTGTTTAGTATAAAACTGTTTCAATCATATCTATTATTATATTTTTTTAAATAATGAGTCCAAGAAACTGCATTTCGGACCTGCATTAAATAGGAGCATAAATTGGATTATAGCCATCAAAAACAGGTGATGTGTGCAGTCTGCGTGCACTAACATTTCTCTTGTCATTTCTCAATTTTTCATCGTTACCTGATTACCTGGTTCCCCATCTCCGTTTCCTATGCTCCAATCATGACCTTCTTCTTTAAAAATTCATAAAATAATAACAATTTTTAACCAAAAAAGTCTGTTCCACAGAAACTATATCCCTGACCAATGTTATTGTCGTACAGACCACTGGTAACCAAAACATCATGATTCACCCTGCCCCGCCGCGCCCCTAAAAACATTCAGCCATTGAAGGACACTAGTAATTTTCCTAAGTTCAAAGAGAACTGGCCATCAATATACTAAAATAGTTATTGCTATGTGGAAATAAATATCGTCTATAGGTTTGTTTACGGTGTAATTGTCTGCGTACGTGCAACGAGTTCTAGTGGCTTTTCCCTGTTTGTGTCTAAAAAGTAAAAAATGTAGTCTATGTCTTTAAAGGATGTATTTGACAAACATTTTCATTAGATGATGTCGCATTACGTATGGTCAATTCGTGCAGAAATCTGTTTTGCCCCTTAAAGGTAATTCTTTTCGAACTATACAACGTATAATACTGGCAACTTGATGTGAGAACGTCTTAGAGAATGTTAGAGAAATCAGAGAAACAGATTCTAATCATTATGAAAAATAAGACTATGGGTTTTATTTGTTCGTTATATTTTCAGCACTTAACCGATCATCGTTAATTTTTTTATATTATATATTGCCAGGGATACAGGAAATTACGCTTCATTATATCTGAAAAAATATAATGTTCATGAGAGATTCCTAAATTGACCACCGTAACTAAGTCACGGTTAAAAGCTAGTCGGGAGTAAGACCTTACTGCTATTTGACCAACAGCTCACTTCACATAAATTGGCCAATTTTAGGGCATGATGTCACTTTACGTACGTTAGCGATAACAAAATAAGCACATTTAATGTGTCGCTTATGATTATTATAAAACTTCGCTCTCATAGACAACCATAAATTATCAAAACAGGCCATTATCCTTTTAGTACCAATTATACTGCCCTTTCAATAATCGTATCATATTATTTCGATATAATCGTTAATCGTTTACGTGCAGAATGGGCATCGACTATTCGCCTTGACCCCTAATCGATTATATCATTAGAGCTGCCTTTGATTACTTCGTAAGTCTTTGAAAGATTGCAAGTTTTGAGTATGGGCAACTATTGCTATTTTTTGACGTGACAACGTCTTATAAATTGGTTTGCCCGGTGACACTTCAAGAAACTGCGTTACGCTCCGCTCACGTTATGCGCTCACAATGAGAGCGAGTGAGAGGCACGCGTCCCTTCCACTCGGGCATGGTTAGCCCGCCTAAGAGCGAGAGAGACAGACATAAAAAGTGAAAGGCACGCGTCCCTTTTTTAAATATAATTCTTTGTATAAATAAATGTTTTAAATTGTTACTATTATTTCATCCTTCTTCCTACTATACGAATGAATATTCACATTAAAATTATTTTACCACTCAAAGTCGTTGTCACGTAAAACTTTCGCCCGTATACCGACTTTACAGGCAACCAATTTTTTTTTTTGTTCAAACAAGTCTCAATTAGTTCGTTTATCGGTCATCAGTGTCTAAAACCATAACAATACCAATTTCAAAAGCTCTAAATGGAGCAACGGCAAGTTCATTCTAAAATATAAAAGTTTGGTTGTAGCAAATTTAACGGCGGTGTTGTCTACAGTGAAGGTCCTGAGTCCGTCAACTCCATCAAGTTCAGTTAGAGAAATACCTTCTACGCATGTGTAGGTAAATTACAATATATTTACCTAGATCGGAAACAACAATTAGATAATGATTGGCTAGAGTACCATGAAAACAAAGAGAAAAAAAAGGTCGAACAATTTGAACAAAAACTGAAAAGGGCTGAAGAAAGAAAAAGAAAAAAAGACGAAAAAGAAGTAGCTAACAAAAACAAAAAGGCCTTGTAAAGAAGACTAAACAAAAAAAACTCTACTTCTACAAAAAAAGTCACAAAACATTTGTTTGGTTTAAATAGCGAATCTGAATGTGAAACCTGGAAGCCTTCTGGTGGTAGTACAGATGATCTGAATAGCGATGATAGTTGTGATTATGATATTTTTAAGATTTTTTCTACTTATTTGTACATTTCAAGATGTTTGTTTAAAGTGATTTTTACAAAATATTGATTTACATGATTTGAAGAGGCTTTGTGAAATTATTTTCTAAAATTACTGTGATTTTTTTAGTTTCTTTTTAAGAATATTACTTCTCAAGTACTGGATCACTAGCTAGAAAAACTCATAGCCAATTACTGGGAGAAATAAAAATTTGACCATCAATTATTGGTTCAATTTTAGTCCGTTAGAAAAAAAACGATATTAAAATAGATAAGAGTCATTTTCGTTTCATAAGTTCAATCTAAGAGAAACGAAAGACTGATCAATATTTGTTACTTATTTTGAAAATTCTAACTTAAATAAATAAAATGTTATTAAAGAAAACGTGAGCTTTTCTCGCTATTGTATCAACAACTGGTACATTTACCTTAATGAACAATACAAAACACGTTTTAGACTAAAACCACTGTCTCAAATGTTCTATTAATTTTAGGGTACAGCGATTTTAGTTTCTAAAAATAAATTAAGCGGATAGTATAAAAAGGTTTCTCTACAAATGTCTGTCCTTCTATTATATAATTACTAACAACGGAAGCAAGGTGAATGTGAAATTTCACCTTGCTTGACTATGAAACCACTTTGTTTTTAGGAATTAATACAATGACTGTCATAACGTTTGCCTATTATACTGCCAGACTCTAAATAATCCGATTAAATTTCTCTACGAACCATACATATAATATGGTTTTGTGATTTAAGTATTAACTCGTACAAGATAAACGGCCAGACAACCGTTATTATTTAATGTAGGTCGTTTGATGTCTTATATAAAATATACAGGATACCCATAAAGAAGGAGACACTAGTTGGAAACTTACTTATCTTTGACATTAAATTAAAAAAAAAAAGTTCAAAAGTCTCCGGAATCGGGAGAGGGAATCGGAGGTAGTGGAAAACAAGTACGCGATACCCCGATAACCGACATACACGCAGGCGGAGCTGCGGGCAAAAGCTAGTTAAAAATAAATAAAAATAAGAATATATACAAAACTAGATTTTATTACCTTCCCATTCCCACATTACACTGCGTTGTTTCCTGTGACTTTCACCCCTTAATTACAAAGGTGACCATCAAAAGTTTTTAGAACTTTCGTTTTCTAAGCAGAACCTTACTTAAAGCAAAAAATGCCTACTCAACCTATTCAATTTTCAGTTCATGTTCCTACCAGTAAATGAACTAATTATATACATTCGATCGCCTGTTTTCTTTCTATCAGTTTCATATCTAAGTTCAGGCACCTTCATAAGTTCATTACCATTTAGAGTTTGCAAGAATTAGACCGCGGCTGTGTATAAGCGGAGCTTTGAGCGGAGAGATTCTTCGGAAGCATTATTAGGCAGGTATCCTGGCATAGGAAGAAAGAAAGAAGGAGCTAAGGTCAGTTTATGTCCCTGTTATAACGGACTCCCCAATTCGAAAACGTACCACACCTCGTGAACCCCCATACCCAGTCCCCTCAGTGACCACCCGTAGTATATGCCAAGACCCGCCTCCCTCTAGTTTTTCAGGTAATTCATAAAAAAAGTCTTAAATATTTTTTTGCAAATAGGGAGTCAAAAAACTTAGGTGTCTTAATTAATACAGCACTTAACTACGTAACGAAAACCTAATCCCTCCACCGCCCCTATGATCAAGCATGGTATTTTCAAGATAGCCTCTCCCTTAATGAGTCACGTACATGGGTACGTTTCCTTACGGGGTGGGTAAATGAATACGTGACCCCAGCCTTTTTTATTGAAGAGGGCAAACGAGCAGACGGGTCACCTGATGGAAAGTGACTAACGCCAATCAAGCAAATCACATCGCTAGCACCCGACTATGTGTTTTGATATTTATTTATTTATAAATGTGTATATTCATCTATTGTATGTGTATACTTGAGACCTCTATGTATATATGTAGTGATGAATATAGTATTTTATTTATAGTATTTATAGTAGTAGTGTATATATGTAAGTTAGATTTATCCTACATTAATAAGTTTAATATAAACAAGTCAAATTCTCTGTTTTCTCTTGCACCTACAGCTTCATTTTTCTACATCACCCAAAGGTCGACTGGCAGAGAATGCCTTGGGCATTAAGTCCGCCTTTGTACAACTAGTGCATTAAGTTAAATAAATAAATAAATAAATAAAATATTGCAGCCTCAATCCTGTTTCTCGTTCGAAATATGCCGTATATCTGTATAGGTATATATTTCGTATATCTTTCCGCCAATTTCCTTGATTTATTCGTTCTTAAGAAGAGTTGGCCTCAAGCAGTTCAGAGGCTGTCTGCTAAGTGCTGGTCTTTTTTTTGTTATACTTTGAGTGCTCCCTCCACCCAGTTTTTGCTTAACACTGGTTTGCTGTGGGACTGTGGTGTCACTCTCTCAACTCAGACAACTCCCGCACTAGGAACATATCTTAATGAAACAGACACAAATAACACCCAGAACAACAATTTGTGGATCACACAAAGTGTTGTACCATGTGGGGATCAAACCCACAACACTCGACGCAGCAGGAAGCGGCGAGGTGACCGCTTAAACCGCTACGCTATCCGTGTAGTCACTCTAATAGACTAGGTTCATTTTTGCTGAATAAAAGATCAACCAACACTACTTGCAATCATAGTATGTCATTGTGCCGTGACCAAATAGAATGAGAAGATGGGTGGATGATGATGATGAGGATCATGGGAGAAAGAAGAATCAATTTTTATTTCAAATTTGAGAAAGGGTTTCACATGTTGGCGCGTTTAAAATTAAAATTAATAAAGCTGTATTATAATTTAGTACATCAAGAATTTTGCTACGTAAACGGAGCCAGGAAATCTAGCCCAGTTTCCTGTGCCACAAACACAAAACATCGCTCAGCTAAGCGTTCCGCTTTTAAAAATAACCATCTTAACGTTGGCTTAGTTGAAGTCACAGCTAACTAGCCCCTATGTATGCATAAATGTTGTTGCGTGAAATGTTTAATGTCAATGACCCGTTTTAGCGTCAGTATTAAACGGTGTTATATGTGGTTATGATTGGTAGTCCTTTCTAAGACTTAT